ATTTTTCTAAGTACAAAAAGTCAGCATATTTTTCTCAACTTTGACTCATCATAACTTTTAGATCAAACATCCATCTGATCTCATTCTTGGCACATTGCAAAGATTGTGATCTTATATTTCAAATGCTTCAAGAATCACGCCCTAAGACCCCTTGAGCTATGAATACCATGGGTTCAAAGTAGGTACCTTGAAACTGAAGATTTCTCCAAAGTCAGAATTTGAAATCCATATTGTGCCTTCTAAACACAAAGTTTACACGCGTTTTTGCTTCTAATCATGTTTACAATATTCCAAAAGCATTTAGCATCACAAAATGCAGGACTTTGCTGAGTTTTGATGCTAAACAACTCACACATTTCTCATGCTTCAGGTTCACACGAATTCACTCAATTACACTCTCATTCGCACGCTTAAGCATTGCCTCATCCTATCCTATAAATAAGATCAATATTCCACCTATTTTCACAAGCTTTTGATATCCAATTGACCCCTGTTCAGATCCCATACGAACTCTGAATTTGAATTTCTGATTTCTTACATTCTCATTCCAAAACACCAAAAGCTCCATTCAATTAGCTTCATTGGACTTCTCTGTAGCTAACCATACTCTCACATTCAATAATTGTGACCTATATTAATCTACAGAAGTCCAGTTTTAGAGAAACTTTTTACTACTTCGTTCAAGTAGATTTCTTGGTCAAATCGATCCAAATAAAAGACTAATTTACTCTCTTCATCCTTTTGTTTCTCATGCTTTTTATAATTTGCAATTTCATTGAGATTTGAGTGAGATATTCCAGAATTTAGTGCTCACTATTATTTCTGCATTTTCTCAATTTAATCCTTGCTCGGTTTATATAAATTTGGCGTGGTGGTACCATTAGAATCTACTTGAAGAGACGAATCTAATGGTACCAGTCTGGTTTACTAATTTTACAATTTGTGGAATTCGATTTGAGGTTGACTGGAGATTGAAGACGATGACATGTCTATCTTCAACCAATGACATTTAGCCACGTTATTTTTTTAAAATAGATTTGGTGTTTCACTTTACCATGCGCACGTGTTATGAGCCCTCGAATTTGATTACTTTAGTGAGTCAGACTCCACCCAATGTGCCACATTTTAAGTTATTTTTATTTAATAAAAAAATAATTAGGTGTGATATCCAATAAAGTCCATGACATATACATTGCGCCAGATCCATTGGATCTGTTTACTAATATGTTTTGACAATGATCAGATGGTCCACATTTTTTTGGTTTGTTATTTTAGTTTCTGATTTTTTGTTTTAATTGTTTTGAACTTTAAAAAATCATAGAAAATTCATTTCTGATTCAAAAATTATGAAAAAAATTCACAAAACTGTTTTCAAATATTCTCTTTCTGATTTTTATTTTTTCAAGATTTTATTTTTAGATTGGTATTTTTTATAATTTTTCCCTTATTTTGACTTGTTTCTAATTATTTAAAAATACCTTTTGATATTTTTAAATTCTAAATATTTTTTTATAAAAATCATTTTCATTATTTCTGACTTTCTGAAATTTTCTAGAATTTTATTTTGACTTCTATTATTTTTTATCCTTTTCCATTTATTTGAATGATTTTAATCAATTTAAAAATGTTTTTTCTGTTTAAAAAATTATCAAAAAATTTATAAAAATATTTGAGATCATTTCTGACTTTTATATAGTCTCTTTTAATTTTTATTTGATACTTTGTATATAACTTACTATCTTGCCTTTTATTTTCATTTTAAAAAACAATTTAAAAATTATTTTCCTTTTTATTTTATTCATTAAATGTAATTTATTTTTTTAATATATTCTGGCTACATGATTGTTGATCATGCACTTCATTAACATCATTAGATCTTGGGTGTTGAGTTTAACTCCACCAAAATGGATGGATGATTTTAATGATAATTTGATTAAAATTGTTGATTCAAATATTTCCCCTCCCTCTTCATCTTATCCTTTTCTTACATGTGCTACATGTTGTTAGAGGATGATCTACATATCATCTCTCCAAACATATGACACATAGATTTCTATTGACTGGCCTCAAAATAGGTGCGACTTTTATATAAGTCTACTTACGATTGCTTAACATAGCGCTAAATTTTGTCCCGATTCGAGAAATGAACATTCGTGGTCCAAACCTGTGTTTGCAAGCCCAGGTATGTTTAATTTGAAACCTTTGATCCAAAAACCTTGAGGTTCATTGTTAGGAGGCTTTGGTCTTATCAATCCTCTAATGAATCTTCATAAATTTTGGACTAAGCGAATCATTTAAACATCGTTGATAATTTGTTGTTGCCTTGAAAATTTGAAATGAATGATATACTTGACAAAAAGCAAATGAGACTTGTTGTTGAGAGGCTTTGATTTTATCAATCTTCTAATGAGTTTTAAATGCAAGATTCAAGATGGTCATTCAACTAATCTCTAATTTCCAACTCATTGACAATTGACTTTTATTTTTATGCTTTTACTTTACGCCTTTACTTTTACGCACCATTTATTTTAGCATTTACATTTCATGCTATTTTCATCTTTGCTCATTTGAGCATTTATCTTTATATCATTTTTTATTTTGCTCACTTGAGCTTTTCATTTTCTTTTTGAAGATACCTAATAATCAGCTTGAACAATAAAAAGCTTTAATGTTACTTGGACTATTTGGTTACTATCCTTGGCATTTTGGAGTTATGGACTTCTTGGACTTATGATTAGAGACCTTGACATACCTTGAGACCTTGTGACTTCTGTTGCTATTTTGTCTGGAGTTCTTGGGGTTTACCCCGAGACATTGGGTTTTTATTTTATTTTTGTGCAGGTCATTATGATTATGTGCCTTGTCTGTGATTGGAAATTCATCTGTATACAACCGTTACTCTGCTCAATTTTTGTGAAGACATAATGCATTTGAAGTTTGGTATTCTTAAGAGGTTTAATATCTTTGCTTGCTTGGTTTCAATTCAAAGGATGAAAATTCTACATTGACTCATTATGTCAAGTGTTAGCTTCTTGTTGGTTAGACGGTTCTTTTGCCTAGCTTTTACCTTATACTTTAGGATAGTCCCTTCATCTCCTCCCGTCTTCTTTAATTTCAAAAATCTTCTCCCTCTTTTTCAAAATTTATTCTTGTTTTCTAAACTTGAACCAATTTCACAATAAAATTGGACTTATGTCCATGCATTTACAAAACATTTTCTTAATCAAATTTTAAACAACTTAATCATACTTAGACATTTTTGTGAGAAAACTAAAATTCAATCAATCTCATTCAAACCATTTTGCCACTTTGACTTTTTACCTTAAAACTTTTCTCCAAAGATTAGACTCTCGTCAATCTTTATAGTGATGCGAGCTACTATACTTCTACGATATGAAGTGAAGTGAGATATTTTTCAGTTGGGTGTTGGGCGAGACTTTGTTGACTTTAAAATCCAACTCATATCCTCCACTTTGAGATGATGCAAATTCTTCTTTCTTATAATTGTGGGTAGTAAGTATGTTCTTCCACTCGGATAAGACGATGATGTCTCATCTCTTAAAATTAACCAACACATTTGTGTTTTAAAATTTTTAAAGGTGAATTACGAGAATCCTGATCCCCTATTACACGGAAGGTGGTACGTAGACACTAAAGGTTCGCAACCGCGGCAGGTGCAAAAATTATAAAAATATTTCTTTTCTCACCTCCACCATCTATTTTTTTATACAACTCTTATAGCCAAATACAAAAAATTTCAAAGAGGTTCATGCGGAGTATCGTAGATGTTTAGGGTGTTAATAACTTCCCTTTGCATAACCAGGTGATCCAGTCGCACCTTCCAGTACGACTACCTTGTTACGACTTCACTCCAGTCACTAACCGTGCCTTCGGCATCCCCCTCCTTGTGGTTAAGGTAAGGACTTCGGACATGACCAGCTTCCCTAGTGTGACGGGCGGTGTGTACAAGGCCCGGGAACGAATTCTTCGCCGTATGGCTGACCGACGATTACTAGCGATTCCGACTTCATGTAGGCGAGTTGCAGCCTACAATCCGAACTGAGGGCGGGTTTTTGAAGTTAGCTTACCCTTTCGGGGTCGCGATCCTTTGTCCCGTCCATTGTAACATGTGTGTCGCCCAGGGCCAAAGGGCATACCTAGATTCTCTCCCCCTTCTTTTTGGGTTATTCACTCTTTTTTCATTCTTCTGAAAATAATAAAGCGCGGTGGCGATTTTTATTTGATCTGTACAAGTTAAGTCAATCTAATAACTTAGTCTCAACATTCCTACCGCTACAGGAACAAACTAAAAACAAGCGTAAATTAATGTTACACTATACATGATAAAATCAAAAAACAACACTAAACGTTTTTTTCAAAAAAATTATAAATTTTACTTTATACCAGTTTGTTTTGCTGCATGCTTATGTCCACAAGCAAACTATTCGTGATTAGGTGCTCAACAGCTTCACACGATTTCTCAATGATTGATCAGAATCACATAAGTAACTTTGGTAACACACAATTATGACACTCATGTTTGGCTCCAAAGGGATTCCTTTTTAAAAATATAGATGTTCAATCATGTCATCTACAAATACAGGTTCTTCCATTTCATGAATTAACATGCTATTTTAAAGATTATATTCTCCCTACTATTAATAAACCCAATCCCAAAAGTCTTTTCAGAGTCATAATCTTCACCAAATTATACTTATTATGAATATGACACTTCCTTATAACATTACATCAAGAAAGAATATCTATAAGTGGGGACACATTAGTTGGAAAATTAAGTAATGTGGCTGGAACACATTGGTCCTCTCATTTATCAACTAGCATATAATGCTGTTCTTCTTTTTCCCGACCCAACAAGACAATAGTCCTTTTCATTCCCATCCTTTACTCACACACAAACACATATATATAACCTCACATCACAACTCACAAAAGTCAAGTAATCTTTATCCCAATTACTCTTAGGTAGCTTCTTATGTATCATGGACATTCAACTAGGTCAGGCTATACCAATTCATAGTTCCATTGAAGGATTTGATCCTCATAATTACAACCATGGTTTAAATAATCATGGTGGATGTTATGAAAACAACAAGTATGTCGAAAATAAGTTTAACTTTGAAGAGTCGTATGGACATTTTTTGAAACCTTTGTCTTTGTTAGTATGTAATGGACAACCAAATGAGGAAGATGGCCGCGGAAAAAAGATGAATCGAAACATTCATACGTTACACAAGTAAGTTGGTTCTTGACTTTCATGTTTGATTAGACCAGTAGTGAGTTTTTCAGAGTCACAACGTATTAATGTGGTTTTGACAAAAATTATACTTGTGATTACAAACATGTACTCCCTCTTTCAAAATGAATAACTTAGACTACCATTTCACATGAAAAAATAAGAGAAAGAATAATATTTTTACTATAATACCTTTAATCATGTATGAAAATGATGAAAGTTTAATTAATTAAAGGATAGAATTAAAAAAAATATATTAATGTGATTCCTTAATTATAGAACGGATGGAGTATTAAAACTAGATTGTAATTTGATTTTTTTTTTTTATTATGTATATCAATATACTTTTTTTATGTGATGTACATGTATGAACAGTGAAGGAGAAAACCAATTGGTGGGGTGGCCACCAATAAAATCATGGAGGAAGAAAGAGCTTCATCAGCAACATCCTAACCAAATAAGGATTGATCATAGAATGCAAGGTAATGAAAATCAAAGAGGATGGAGCAAACTATGCACTCACATTTCAGAATAAACAAGGGGATTGGCGATATTGAGGATAGAAAATGAAACTATAGACAAAGATCATAATTTGTACTTTCATGTTGTTTGTGCTTGGTTAGTAAAAAGTACTATCTGCTTGAGTATGTGAATTATGATTCGAATTAGATTTTTTTTTGGGAGTTTTAAGTTGATAGATTTAAAGTTTAAATTCTTAAAGATTGATTTTCAAGTAAGGTTTGTTATAAAAAATTTAAGAAACAAATGTATAACAACGCATAAAAGAATCAATCGACAAGAAAAATACATAAATAAATTAAGATTAATATAGAAGACATAAATAAACTAAATGTCATGCTAACGAGTGTGATAGGGTCATTTTTCAAAAATTTTAAAGAAAGAAAATATTTCTTAAACAAGTCAAATATTTCAATTTTCAATTGATTAAATACACGCATTTTAAAAAATACTTACTTTTTTATGTCCTTAAAGAATAGCGTTGAAGCACTCGTTACCATTTTCCAAAAACTAAGATCAATGTAAAAAAGTTATCATCATCATATTATTAAAATTGAATTACATATTTCAATAGAGATTTGTTAGCTAAGTTTTGTTTTGGTTATTGAGATAATCCATCAATCTCTAAAGAACGGTTTACTAGCTAAATTTGGGATAAAAGTTGTTATTGATTGGTGATAAACTTGTAAAAATGTTAAAGTCTATTTGTATTAAAGATTTGTGGACATAACGTGTTTTAAAGAATGGTCGGTGACAATAACTAATTCAAACGGTTGTCATATTATAATTCTCTATCTTCAATAATCAATCACATAAATTTTATGATATGTTTATCTCAAGAACTTGACTAAATCTCCCAATAGCAATATCCACTTGAGAATTTAAACGACAAGCATGACCACTTATAAAAAAAAATTCTTTCTCACAAGCAAAGTCTCACTCAAAAATCACTAAGAAAACCTCAGGCGAAGAAAAATATTTTGGAATAGAGAAAGAGAGAAAATTAAGAGAGAAATTTCAAAGAAAAAGTAAATAGTTGGAAAGTTGTGTGAAATAAAGTGGAGGTGAGCATCATTTATATAGAAGTTGAAAAATCCAAAAACATAAATAATCAATGGGTCAAATTAATGAGCCAATCGATTGGCATAACACTCCAATCGATTGGCCAAAATGTTTTTAATTGATTAGTAAACCCAAAATAGAAATATTGAATATAGAGTTGTGACAAGTCATTAATGTGCTTGTCATATCCCAAATTTGCCCTATTGATTTCTAAACAAATTATTCCTTTTTGTTATTAATGTTATCACTTTCTTTATAAAGTTTAGATTATTATTTCCAAAATCATATATGTCATGGTGTTTAAGTTTATAAAGGGGGTGTATTGTTTTAAAATGGACCATTAAAATCTGATGGCCCATTAAGTTCCTTCCTACAATTAGAAAGGGTGTGCATTTGTTGTTTAGATTTTAGCCCATTAAAGTTGGTGAAAAATGAAAAGAGGAGTGTATTGGCTTAAACAATGGCGTCTATTAGAACCTGATGGCCCGTTACAATTTTTAAGCCCATTTACTTTTTGAAAGGGGGTGTGTTAGTAGGGCTAGAGGTCTTGTTTGTCAAAGAAAAGCCCATGTTGCCAAGTTTAGAGAGCAATCCAGCGTCCCATTAAGGGCTAATGTATTTTTAACAGAGGAGAGGTGTGGTTGTTTGGTCTACCAATTGGGCTTCTCAAAAGAATTATTGGTACATTTTTTCTAATTATTTTTAGAGGTTCATGTTGCATTTTTTTGGAAGCCCGTTTTGTTGGCTGAAGTCAAAACTCCTTCAAATTATTTTATTTTACTATTATATCTGTTTTGTTTTATTATTAATTATTATTTAAAAAAATGTTCAAAAGCATACTGTAGAGATTATGGTATTATTTTCGTCATCCTCCCTCTAAAGGCTTACAACTTTTAATCGAGAGTTGAATATCACAAAAAGAAAGTAAAAGCATAGTTTAAATATAGTCAAAACAAATGGATTACTTCAAGCCAAACATATTCAATACATTAATGAAACAACAAAGTTTGATATAAAATAAATGTTCGAACAATCAAAAGAAATGACAATTCGAAAATTCAAATGAAATAGACGCTCTCAATCTTGGCCATGATTTGGCATGGGAGCAGTGATCACATTGGGGGTCTCAGGAGGGTCGAACTCAATCTAATTAGCATCAATCAAATATTGGATTTTAATTTTAAAAGCCCCGTAGCTATTTATTTTATGTCCGAGACTATTGGAATGATAAGCGCATCTCACATTAGGATTGTACCGAGGAGATGAGGTGTTGGGATTCTGAGGAGGATCCTTCAATATTATCATCTCTGCCTTTAACAGGTGTTACAGTGCATGGGACAATGGCATGTTTATCTTAGTAAATTGTCTCCTAGGTGCATCCAGCCTACGCTGATTGCCTTGCTGTTGATGTTGTGTTGGTGTGGGATTGGAGATTAGCACAACTCCCACGAATTAGCTGTGCTTACTTTTAACACGAACCTTCTGGCCATAAATGGAATTGGTATCCTTATTATCATTGAATGTCTTCTTCACAGAACTTGAAGACGCATCCACTGGAATTTTTCCACTCTTAATACCACTTTCAACTCTTTCTCCTATCAGTATCAGCTCAGTAAAACCAGCTGAAGAACTCCCGATGAGCAGATTAAAGAATGGTCCTGTTAGAGTTCCCATGAACATATCAACCAATTCCCTGTCAAACAAGGGAAGTTGCACCCTTCTATCTAAATCTCTCCATTTTTGTGCATACTCCTTGAACCCTTCATTCGGGCCCATGGACATGTTTTGCAATTGCACATGGGTCAGCGCAAGGTCAGCATTATATTGATATTACTTGTAAAAAGCAGCAGCCAGGTCTTCCCACGTGTGAATGTTGGTTCCTTCCAGCTGATAGAACCATTCAAGTTGAGTGTCGGACAAGCTTTCTTGAAATAAATAGACCCATAACTTCCTGTCAGCAGTATGGGTTAGATTTTTCAAACATACGACCTTAGATGAAGTTTGGGACAAGAGACCCTATCATATTTAGAAAATACAGGGACCATGAACTTCTGAGGGATGACCACCCCCGGGATCAGACCTAGTTCTCCAAAATCCAATCCAGGCACTTTTTTAGATTTCCGTAGCTTTGAGACGGTCTTCCAACTGCTTGTACTTGTCATCTGCAGGAGGATATTGTTCATCGGAGTAGTCTTCATCTTCAGAACCCTGATTGTTTCTACCTTCAGGCTTTATGCTTCTACCATCCTTTTCTTGGTTGTTGTCTTCCTCATAGGAAATATCGTCCACTTGAACCGGTTGAGTAGGACCTTTGAATCTTCTCCCCATATTGAGGATAACAGCCGGCTTTTTAGTCTTTTTTTCTTGGCGACGAGCGCCATCAGATCTTTGTGTCCTTGTGCCAGATTCAGAAAGAGTCTCTTGAAATTGTGCATGCTGAGCTTGGAGGTCCTTAACAGTTTATTCGAGGGCCATCTAATACTGAAATAAACAGTAAGTAGATGAGAAAACCTATATTGAAAACATGTTATGTAATGATGCATGATATGTAGATGCAATTTTTTCAAGGATCTCGCGGGGTAAATAAAGAAAATGTTAGAATTCGACTACGGCTTTGATTGAAGAACTTCGTATCATTGAATGTCCTTCTACAAGAATCAAGCTCACCGTGTCGAGTGGGTCCTAGCCTTTGACTCAATATAATGTACCTCATTCTTTGACGGCATTTATTTAGAGGAAAATAAATCCCCTTGCCCCTTTCTAGACGTCGGTTCATGATACTTTGGTGGCATTTGGTTAGAGGAAAATAAATCCTCCTGCCCCTTGTTAGGTGTCTGATTCATGATAACCGGCATCGCATGCCCTTGAGATCCTTGAAATGATTAGTGAAAATGATATGGTATGATGTCATGATGTTATGATTTCATGTTTGAACAATTAATCATACACAAACAAAACACACAAGGACTTAGGTTTAAGCTTGCATGGAGTTTGTAGGTAAGTACCCTCTTGAATTTTAGTTGGCTCAACCTGTCCTAAGAAAAGTAATCGGGTTCTAGGAGCCTCAGTATTACAGATCTTTCCCCCAAGCATTGTTTCATCACAAGCATCTGATTTGCAACAAAAATATCCTGAGAGTTTGATATCAATGAGTATAGCATCGAGTATCAACAAACTTCAGTCTGCACCAAAGTCGGATATATCACTACTTTCTAATGGCTAAGTTGTGTCAACTAAGGTTCTACGGTCAGTTAGTGCTTTATGACACCACGCGGCATCCCAACATTCTCCTTTACTTAACTCAAGGGACACCAGCACCAACCAATGTGTCATACTAACGTAGTCATCGCTTTAACTGTATCAGTATACACCATACAGTTTTCACGATCTATTGTTACTTACCTAAAATGCCCCCAGATTCGGGTATAGGATCTATACAAGAAATGAATCCAAGCATATCCTGAAATATAAAGCATACAAGGCAAACAAGTAAAGCAATAAAGGTGATATATCTCTTAAGGTAACCCCACTTTTAGTTATCCCCAGTAGAGTCGCTAGTTCTCTAATACGGTGGGAGAACTGACTTTTGGTTTTGCGTTTTATCGCAAATGTTGCGGATAGCGAGAGTCGCCACCGAATTTTCTTTTATCTAATAAAGGAAAGGGTGAAAATAATAGGAAAGACCTTTGGTAATTTTCTGAGTAAAGGGGTAGGTTATGAAAAGGGAATGTGTTAGCACCATTTTCATCTGTAGTTATCTATTGGCTCTTAATCGCTATCTCACTTTGAAAAATGCTTTGTGAATGTGTAAGTTTGAAAATATTTTGAAAATGCCTAGGTTCGGCAACTTTGTAATGATTCTCGTATCAGTTAAGAACGCATACAAAGTGTTTATTTTGAAAATATTTTAGAAAAGTGTTTGTGTGAAAAGAGATGTTTTTGTGAGCAAGCGAT